AGGGACGAGGGGAGGAAAGGGCCTACGTGGCGGATTGGGCACCGTAGACACGTGGCGCTGTCGGAGCTAGTGTATCGTGATATGATCAAGAGACGAGGGGAGGAAAGAGCCCACGTGGCGGATTGCACACCGTAGACACGTGGCGCTGTCGGAGCTAGTGTATCGTGATATTATCGAGGGACGAGGGGTGGAAAGAGCCCACGTGGCGGATTGGACACCGTAGACTCGTGGGGTTTAAGTGCGTACCGTGATACGATGGAGATGAGATTGCAGGATCGTAAAGAGTCAGGGGCTGCCGAAGACGAGGGGAGGAAACACGATTTGGCCGGAGGACTAAGGAACAAAAAATGGGCAGCAGCTTAGCGGGAACTTTGGACCGGGTCGCCATGGCTGATGAAGGAAAATCGATTTCCTGTCATCCTCTTTTCTTCTCTTCTTTTTTTCCCTCCGCTGCACTTCGGCCGTATCCTCTTCCTGCCCGTTCTCCCCGTCAAGTCCTTTTCGGCCATGCGTTGTACGGGAACGAGGGCCAAGTGAACATAACCACGGACGAGCAGGAGGGTAGGACAGATGGAGGGAACGTGAGAAGCGGTCGAGAAACAGGAAGGCAGGATGTGAAAATGGAGACAGGATGTGTTGACGAAAAGCGGAAGAGTCGGGAAGAGATGGGAAAACGGAGGCGGTCGGCATCCGGATGGAAGGTGTTCGGGGGCGTGAGAGAGAGAGAGAGAGAGAGAGAGAGAGAGAGAGAGAGAGAGAGAGAGAGAGAGAGAGAGAGAGAGAGAGAGAGAGAGACAGAGTCGACCGAGGTAGAGGGAGTCAAGGATCGGCAAAGTGTGGAAAAGGACTCGAATGGACAATGCAGTTTCAGCAAAGCATCAACAAGCAATGTACATCCAGATACATATGAAAATACACGGAAGACTGAAAGATATGACCTGACCTCTCAGATACTGACCCGAGACCCCATCGTACACCACACATGTGAGAGAGGGAGGAGGGACCGCATACATGGAAGAAAGGTCCCTCCTTGAACATGCAAATGGGGGACCACGGATGAGGAGATGGGGGAGAGGCGAGACGAAGATGGAGGTGAGGTAGAAGACCAAGGGGCTCGTTCGACACTCCTCGGGCGAGTAAAGTCCCTGAGGAACTGTTCGTTCCACCTATCCTTGGGGGGGTTGCAGTCCCAAAAAAAAAACGTGAAAACACTCCGAAGGAAATTCCTTGGGCTCCGAGGATTCCCCAGCCATTTCTTCCTTTTGCCCAAGGGACCTGTTGGGCTCCGAGGATTCCCCAACCATTTCTTCCTTTTGCCCAAGAGACCTCACGAGGTCCCTTGGGCAAAAGGAATCCGCGTTTCACGGAGAGGAGAGGGCACATGGGTAGAGAGACGTTACAACCGAGAATCTGAATCGTGGCAGCACCCTATTGGCTGAAGGCCTCAAGCACATTTGATTTTTTCTTTTCTTTTCTTTTTTCTTTTCTGACATTGCTTGGAGGAAATGTCCGCGGGCAACGTCCCCGAGGACAGGTGGAACGAAGGGCCCAAATTTCCTTTTGAACCAAAAGGATTTTTTCCTTTTGCCCGAGGATTTCAATAGGAGTGTCGAACGAGCCCCCAAGATCGCGATAGTGAAGTCCGAAAATAGTCTCCCTGCTGAATATCCAATCAATGTCTAGCATTGTCTGCCACTGTAGCGGACCTCTGGTTGGCCTGTGAGACCAGCCCTTGGCCTGTTCTCACAGGCTGTGTTGTATTCGGGGCAGTCCAGTCCAGTCCCGTCAGTCCGCTGGGGTATACCCCAACTGTTGTCTGTTTTTCGAATCATTCTACATTCGCACATCTTGGAGTACGTGCGTTGGAGTCTCACGTGGGAGCTGCGTTGTGCCATCTTGCTCCCCCCCTTCTTCCTCCATCTCCATCTTTATCCCTGGCAGAGCACCACACCTGGTGGGTCCGCCACACTGGTATCGGAGCAGGAACGTTCCCCGCTCCCAGCAGCAAAAACCGACAGCCAGGTTTTTGCCTATTTTTCGGGCGTTTTTTTACCCATGGCGGAAAAAAAAGTTGCCATAGTGTTTGGCTGTTTTTCGAGCGTTTTTTGCCCCTAGGCCGTTGCTCGAGGACATTTCGTCCAAGCGATGTCAAAA